TACCCCAAAGCTATCAACTCTTTCCATCTGACCCCATCATCTTATGGACCCTAAAGGCTGGGATAGCACCCAGAAGAGTTTCTAATGTCTCCTCTAGCAGCCTTCTACGGAGAGTTAGACTCCTATAAAGGGGAGACAAGAGTCATCACTCAGACAAGAACCACTGACTGTCATCTAAGAATGGCAGGACATGGACTGCAAAGCAAAGAACCGGGTAAATGCAATGTATGCAGAAGAAGATGAGCCAAGAATTTCTATTGCCCCATTGGAGATGGGCATGAAAATCAAGGCAAAGAGCTTAGGAAGACCCCTGGGTGGATGATGTGTGAGCTAATTGGCATATTAGGAATGTTGCATAGGGATGAGCCCAATGGAAAACCCCAGCAGCACAGACTCTTGAATTGTCTGTGAAATTGCAGGTGCAGGAACACACATTGCAGTTTGTGAAGGGTAAGGAGTAAAGCCTGAGGGCAGGGAGCAGTTCAATGTCATGATAAGAGGTTCCTTAGATGTAGTAGGTAGATAGCCCTGTGATAGAAGAAGGCAGGCAGAGAGGGCATTCTGCAAGGAATGGCAAGGAAGAAAGAGTATATGTGATTTGTGACACACAATGAGAGAATAATTCTCATGGACTGATGAATGTTGGAGAAACAGAACCTGGATACCTTGCCTATTCAAGGCACCCCGCATGCGTACACGTCCTGCACATCACCACCACCCTAAGAGAACACACTCATTGCACTTTCATGCAGTCCATGCAGAGCTCAGCACCTCTCTGCAGAAAACAACTGGTCCCCACATCTTCAAAATGGAAGCAGGTTCCTTATTTGGGGGACAGAAAGTAAACTAACCCATCTCTAGCCACAGGAGACGCAAGCACAGAAAAGCCTCCGAAAAGAAGCTTAAATGCCTCTACAGCCCCTTTGCACACTCCTGTCTAAACCCCAGCATCCACGTGGTTTCAGAAGCACAGTAAAACCCAGTCCAGATTTCTTGGTCTCCACAGGCACATCCCCCTCCAGAAGGATCTCAGATTCAGTGCTCTCCCCTGCGTCATTGATGCTGAAATAAGCTCCTCTTTAGCCACATAAATTCATATCTTAGCTGGACAGAAATGGGGAAAAATAATTCTTTCCACTACAAGGATCATTGGGGGATTATCCCTGGCTTGCCTTATCCAGAAGGATTGAACTAAATGAACAAGGCCTCTTCTATTGGCTTTGCCACCTGTGGTGGAAATGGTCATAGCTCCACTGGCGACAATTTACAGCAGCTGTAGTTCTGCACCTCTCCCCACGACACTACACACACACAGGGACCGCTACTGCAATTGCAAGCCATATTACAACACTGGGGAGATATAGAGTACCCAGACAGTAAGCTCTTGAGACTGGACATCACATGTCCTTTCTCTCTTACTGACTTTTTACAGCTGAGAGAAAGAAACTATTTTCATGGTTCTGGCAACTGAGAACACCCAGTCATCCAGTACCTCTGATAATTCAACTCTGTGAGATCGGCGCCATCTCCCATGGTATCTCCATGGCCTGACCCTTTCCCCCTACCTCTTAAGAACAATCTTATTGAAGGGTATGATTTCCCTTCTCTGTCATGGCTCTGTGGCAGGAGTACCACTATTGGAGCCTCTCTGGGTGTAGCTCCACCCTCCTGTAATGGGCCAACCACCTGCTTACTCGCCTGCCATGCCTTGATCTTTTTCGATTAATAGATTGTTGTAATCAGCGGAAGACTGCCCATTTCTATGCACCCTGATGACAGGGGGGTGCTACCTGCGGCTCCTTTTTCCTCCCCTACATCACAGCCCAAGCCTTGCAGATGGTGCTGATGTAATCTGACCTGGGCCCTGTTATGTCTTGGCCCCCTCTCGCTCTTGGGGCTCCTCACTGCCCCCGCCTCGCTCTCGGGCTGGGGAAAATGCACCCCAAAGATGCTGCACCCTCTCAGGGGCCAGGACCCCCACGCTATCATGGAGTCCCTATGAGGCTTCCTCCAACCCCTAATAGCCTCACCCGGTCCTCTGGTAAACAGTAAACACAAAGCACAAAGCCCCTGGCTATAAAGTAAAATTAAACCATCCGGTCAAACAACATTTGATCCCTACTGGGAAAAATACTCCAGCCCATGGCAGCAACCAGTCGATACTCATGCCGTCACTCCTTGACCTTCTTCCTGCACTGGCTGAACTCCCCACTCCTTGGCTGCCAGAGGGGAACTGCCACCCTGGCCTCCTGCCAGGGCTTAAGAAGGGCTAAGCCCTGACCGTTCCTGTCAGCAGGTTTCACTGGTTGCCCCAGCAGCCAGCACCTGTACTGCCCTGGTGACTGGCAGCTGCGCCTCCCCCTTCTCACCGCTAGGGGCCTCTCTTGAGCTGTCCCTGTTCTCAGGCGCAGGGCACTTAAGTGCTCTGCAACAGGCTCCATGGTCCCTTCCCTTCCCCTTACCCTACAGACTTTGAGCAACGTTATGGATTCAGTGCAGTCTAGCAGATGGTGCCCTGGACCAGGATGCAGGACACTTGGGCTCTAGGTTCATCTCTGCTGCTGGCTGGGTGACCTTGTGCCAATCCCTTTGCCTCATCTTTCTCAACTGTAAAATGGAGATAATGATGTGGACCATATGCACAAAATGTTTTGAGCTCTACATATGAAAACGTCTGATATCAGAGCTAGAGATTATTTTTTAAAAATCCTCCATGCACACACAGTGAATTAAAGGCGTTCCACAAAGCCCAGACTGCTACATAGCCTCGGTATTTGGGGTATACTAAATGTACCCACTTGTTTGGGAGAAATAAGATGGATACACGCTGTTTGGGTTTTAAAATAATAAGGAAGACAAGGGTGGGTGTCTGACCTATCCTGAGACTGGAAAGTGCTCAGTGCTGAGGTGCTCTCTAGCACACAGTTTCCAAGGGCTCAGGGACCAAAAGCAGCGTGAGATTTCCCAAGAGATTTGTACTTATTGAGACACCAAATACATGGCCAGATCTTCAAGAGGACTCAGCAACCAACCGTGCAGCACCCTTTGGAAGAAGGAAAAAAAAAATCCAGCCCTTTTTTTTAATTTTGTCCAGGGGTGGACAAAATGTGGGCCGCGGGCCGGATGCAGCCCCCCAGGCCATTCTATCCAGCCTGCAGGGCCCCTAAAAATTTTAGAAAATAAATATTTATCTGCCCCTGGCTGCTTGTAATGCGGCCCGTGATGGCTTGCCAAAACTCAGTAAGCCGCCCTCTGCCCCAAATAATTGCCCGCCCCTGTGTTAATGCCTAACTGACAGTTGCCCCCCTTGGAAAATGCCAGGATCAGTTGCAAAGTCTGCATGAGAGCAAGTGCTTGCTTTCAGGCCCATCTCTAGCTTTTCAAGCCCACAGGGCCACTACTTTTCCTTCAGTGGCAAGTAGCATACAGGTTCACCCAGCCTATTCACATGCACAGGCAGGGTGTTAAATTCAAGCCAACAATCTCATGGCTAAGCTGCCTTCTCTTTGCTAGTGGTCAAGACTTTAATACTCTTCCTGTCTCCTCTCATCAATTTATTAGACTGAAGTTCCTGTACAAACAGTGGGTGTTAATTTGTGGTGCCTAATTTTGGGAGCTTCCAAAACTGAAGATGCTTCAAGTCTGATCATCCAAGGTGTGCCAAGGACCCCCTGCTGTGGATGAACTGATTTGCAGCTGCCTGGGTGCTCTGCACCCATGGAAACCAGACTGAAAGCAAGCACCCAGGCACTGATGTAGGCCCTACTATTCGAAAGTATTCCTTATCCAGGACAGCACTTAAACATGTGCTTAGTTCCACTGCAGTCAATAGGATTTTAGCACATCTACTTAAAGGTACGCACACACACAAACCCCTTTCTTAGTTAACTTTCGAAACCCTAAATATATTAAAAAGTCTTTGATATTAATATTAATATTATTTATTATAATAAAGAACAGTCAAGCAGCGTGAAAAAAATATATCTTAGCTACATTACCTTAAATTGCCAAAAATATACACATTTTTTCTCTTTTATTTAATAAAAAAACAAATCAAAACAAAAACAAAAAAGACACATGCAACATACTAAAATGAGACATTAGCATCAAAATGGGTAAAGAAATGTACCCCAGTGCAACCGAAACACAGATAACCTTTAGCTTGGTTTTCTTTCCTCACCTTCCTCTTTTTCGCAAAGATGCAAAGTTTAACATCAACCTTCCAAAAGTGGCCCTTTTCCTCTCCTCAATCTGCCCAAGGGATCTTTGCCTCTGGGACAGAATGCAGCCATTGGGCAAAGAGTGCACTTCAAAAGGACCAGGTGCCTTTGGAAGATGGCAGAGAAATATATATATATATATATATA